AGGATTTCCAACCGATAAAGCCTTTATAGCCACAATGACGGACAAAGTTATTGTAACCTCTTGCACCGAGAGTATGATAGAACATTTTCAGATAGCCCCACGGTACCCCATCGGTGTTCAGGCCTCTTAGGCCTTCGTGGTGGTATGGTGGTAGGAGTATGGAAAAAAAGATTCAAGGATAATATTTTTCTATTCTAAATCAGTCGCATAGGTAAAAACCTATACAGGGTGGCCCATCCATGCGTGGACGGAATATTACTCATAAACCAACACGTTTTGGTTAAGTCTATTAATGGCATGTTATACATGACATTTGAGGACAAGTTTCTAAAATATTGGCAATTATACAGGGTGTCTCAATTTTGACCTACATATCAAAGTTGTGATTTTTTAAATGGAATGCCTCAAATTTTATTGCATAATTCAAAAACCAATTTAAGATAAGAAGATTGATATATCATACTATGGGGTTTTGGTAATTAGCTACTGAGATGTAAGGTATTTTGTTCAGAAAAACCGTCCACTTCGGCAGCCCCTCAATTCGCCATTTTGAAATTTGGAGTGCTGGATTTTGTATCAAAAAAAAAACTTACACACCTCAGCTCATCTTATTTGTTACCTTTTCGAATTTTCATTTTTGCTTATAAAGGGTAGTCAAAAACGCGAATTGTACTTTTTCTCAAAAATTTCAAATACGTCACCCTGTATATTTCTGCAAGTTTGGATTCAATTTTGTATGAGCTTTTTTCGGTATAAGGTTTGATTCAGATAAAATCACTAGATTTTGAGTTATTAAGCATTTAATAGAACAACACACCAAAATTAAGGAAACAAATCACATCATCCATGGAAAAAAAAGACAAACACTGGGCTAGTTCCATATTGCTGAGTACAAATTTGACGTAAAAACTAATAACGACCAGAACAGTATAAATCAGCATCAAGCGTAATAGAGAAAAACAACTATAACAACAACATAAATAAACAACTATCACTACTCAAGACCTCATCTACAAACTCTGCTCGAAAATATCTCCATGTTGCATACACAGCTATAGTCTTTGGATAAATGACCGTTGCACATCCCTCAGCATGTGTTCCCTTATGTCCAGAAAAGCATCCTTAATCCTTTCCGTCATATTTTCCGTGGTAGATGGTGGACATCTATAAACCTCTTGCTTAACGTAGCCCCATAGAAGTCCATCAGTGTCATATCTGGTGATCTAGGAGACCAAGATATAGGCCCATCACGACCGATCCAACGATTGTTACTCTAGGTGTCCAAATAGTTACAGACAGGATTATGATGATGCGCAGGTGCGCCGTCATGTTGGAAGTACATATGGATCCGAGTTTGCAGGTTGACATCCTCCAAAAGCAAAGGCAAATGCTCGATCAAAAAAATCAAGTATTCTGTACCTGTCAATCTGTTGTCGAAAAAAAGGCCCGATAATTTGTCTGTCATTAACTCCCCAAACATTCAAGCTCCGTTTATTTTGGAAATCTACTTGCCTAACCCAGTAAGGGTTTTCCGTCGCATAATAGTGCATATTATGCCTGTTGACAACAGCTATGCTGTTAAAAGTTGCCTCATCGCCAAAAAGAACCTTATCCAGGAAAGTAGTGTCTTCACTCACTCACTCGTCCAAAACGAACACCATATTCACCATTTCTTCTTTAGAAAAATTCATTTTCAAACACGTTTTTATTATAATGCTCACAAAGCAAATTTTGACAGTTTGTATTTAATCAATAATTTATTTGTTTCTGAGGATGATGCGATATTTTAGGGAATTAAGCCGTTCCATAAAAGACGTGCTAATAATAGAAAAACAGCCGTAAAAACCCTTATGTGTCTAGTAGTAAAGGAAAGCTTATAAAAAATTGAATCCAAACTTCCACCCTGTATAATTGCCAATGTTTTGGAAATGTGCCCTCAAATGTCATGTATGACATGCCATCAATAGATTTTCCCAAAACGTATTTGTTCATGAGCAATACTCCGTCCACACATGGATGGGCCACCCTGTATACCGGGGCAACGCGTTTGCTATAAGGAACTTAAAGATGGCTTATTAATTCGATTTTTGAACTGCCTAGCTTAGTAGGACTGGCAGGCATACTGTTTCACAATTTCGACATCCTTAGAACGAAGGAGCGGTCAATGCGTGGAGGTCAACAGAGTTGGGCTGGCAGACAAAATCATGATGGGTCCGTCTGGCAGGCTTAACACTCGGTGGCATCATGGAGCAGAGCCTGTTGACATAGCAACGTAGTTCTAAATCCGATAAGGAAATGCCACAGGTTTTTCCGATTGTCCTTCTACGAACTGCATCAGGCAGAAGCACCCCAGACGTGAGGACAGTACTCCAAGACGGGCCTTGACTGGATTTCGAAGGTTAACTTGTGAAAATTGATTCTATTAGTAATTAGGTAAATTAGCTTTATCCTAGTTGTAATCGACTATACGTTTCCATGTCAGGCCTCATCTTCGACAATTTTATCCACAACGACTTATTTGAAAAAGTCTTCTATTTGAAAGGGTCTTCTTCTTCACCAAATGCCTATCCATTTCGTCGATAGTCTGAGAGATTTGAAAATCTCAAAGCATATGCCTATTGTGAACATACCAAGAGGAGTTTCACGTAATTCTCAAAACTTGTTGGAGGCTTTGGATCTTATCGATGTTGAAATCTTTGAAACACGAGGTCAAACATGTGAAGGTTGGCTGTAGAGCAAGATTTTGGTAAGGAGCCGTAGATTTTTGAGTATATTCTCAATAACCTGCAATTTGTGGAGGTTAAACTATCTTCTTTTTTTGTGTGGCATTTCCACGTGATCTAAGTATTTACTATTTACCTTTATTCATATGATTTTACCGTTAATACTTATTTAAGAAGATCTCATTAATTTTTGATTAGTAAAGCAAACATGGTTAGACTTAGTTCGTTTAGTTTCATTTACTTCTATTCCACTTCACTTCTACTCTACTTCTACGGGTTAGTAGATGAAGCAGAATTTCAAAACGTCATCAATATCCTGTCTATCCAGATAAATGTAAATTCGGCGTACATGCGGTTATAATATAAACGTAGTCAATGCAATTGTTGTGTAATGTCTGTTTTATTTTCTAATTGGCATGAATATGGATATTTCGTGAAAAATAGTCTGTTAACGTGCGACAATTGTCTCTGCCACGGTGCAATAAGCAACAGTTTGAAAATCGATACGCTTTGCTGGCTATTGTTGAATATCACTCGACAAGAAAAATATGGAAGCAAGGACTATTACAGATTATATGATTGATTTGCATATATAGGTACTATTTTGAAGGCCTACTTTGCGCTTATCTAACATCTCACTTGATATTTATTTAATCAATTATTTTGCCTGGTTCCGATGCACTGTATTCAAATATATTGTATACAGTATGTTCCAGATTCGCTTCTCTATACAGGGATCTCTGCTCCTGTTATACCTAAAGCAAAGGTTAAATGGGAACAGTTTTAAAGGAAACTTAGTGCTTTCGATAGCCGGCTTCAGGTTTACGATCGATCATATTGGATTTTCTGAATTTTGAAAAGAGTGTAAAATTTCCAGTCTAGTGATGTCTCGCATAAAAGGTTGGAGTATTACATCAGACATAATGTTATGTATTAGTTTTTTTCTAAGGGGGGCATGATTTATTTGTCAGAAAATAACATTAATGAGTAAGGTATAAAAAACATAAACTAATTGAATTTTCAATAGAATATTAACGTTTATATAGACTTCCCAACAATTCAAATATTTTGGGACAAATTCCCAACTATCAGTGTGTTAGTAAAGCACGTCAGAAAAATCGTTGTACATTTATTTTACACTTGAACAAATAAACATTTTACAAAATTGTAATGTAATGTAAAATCTAATTATGCAGGCGGGTATTAATTTATAGATTTGCAAAATAACGTCCATTTGCATCCCCAGACATTTTTGACAATTGGTGACTGTTTTCCATACAACCTCAGCAAGTGTATTTCTGTCAATATTTCTAACTGTGCTCGAAATTCTTTGCCTCAGGATTTCCATGGTCGCGAGAGGATCAAATTCATGAACCTCAGATGTTGAAATCCAACGGTGAAAGGTCAGGAGATATAGAAGGCTAAGATATTGAACCATTTAATGAAATTATTTCTTCATCATACTACTATCTTAAGAAGTCCCTGACTTGAATGGTGTTGTGAGCCGGACATCCATCCTGTTAAAACCAGGTCCTTCTAAACTCATCTTCGGTTCATAAAGCCGGCTCAACCTGGTTCCGCAAAAGCTCTAGGTACCTCTGTCCGTTTAGGTTCGAGTCAAACAAAAATGGTTCAATAAGTCGATTTCCTGAAATGATTAATATCTAATTTCAAATAGGTGCCCAATTAAAAAAGGTAAGTTAGATTAAACTATCAATGACCCCCACAGCAAACGTCAGTAGGCGTCTCTCTGCCACTTGGTGAGGGTTTTCCACTGTCAAATGATGAGTGTTGTGCCTATTAAACTCCACAATTCGTAAACCTACTCTCATCGGACCACAAGACATGATTTACAAAATCGGAATTTTCATCAGACTTCCTAGTATACCTACCGCTCACAGAAGCGCATTTGCCTTGGAAAATCAGTTCCCTCAAATCCTTGTTCTATTGTAGGCTTGTATGGACGGTAGTTATTCTTATTTAAAACTCTCTGTACTGTTGATTATGACTAAAGACCGGATTTATATGTATTTACATGTTTTTACATATAACATAATATTTTAGGGTATTTTCGGTTTTTTCTATGTATAATCCATATACAAAGACATACGCTTTAAAAAACATAAAATGGCTTTTATTTTTTTTTATTCAGACTAAACACATTTATTATTACTCATTGTTATGTAAATCTGACAACGATGCACAAATTATAAAGACTAGGTACAAAGCATATCGGTGATTCCCCGATTAATAACTTGGCTCCGTGCCGTGCACCTGTCGCAATCTTGATTTAGAAAACTTGAGTAGTAAATAAACACGTATTATTCTTCGCTGCAGTTTAATATTTAAAAAGATCGCCATGCCGAAGGTATCAAGCTCTAAAGCTGATTTACTTAACAAATGGATAAAGAATGCTAAACATTTATCCACTGATGGAACAGTTGTATACTATAACGCCTGTTCAAAGCAAGTGAGTATATGTAATAATATAATAATTAATTAATATTTCATTATCTACGGAGCTATTATTGTAAATATTCATTATTTCAAGGTTTCTTTAAAGTTTTTTTTAGAGCTCGTTTGATTTTAGGTATCCTCAAACCAGAAATTTCAAATCGATCAACACCTTGCTACAGCCATTCACAAGGAAATGGAGAAACGATTTAACGGGAAAGTGCAACAAACGTTTGTTTCAACTACATGATGTGGCAGCTCCCAACAAAACCAGGATTCTAGAAATGAATTTTATTTTGATTTATGCAACTCCATGGCACAATCAAACATACCATGGAATAAATTAGAACAACCGTCGTTCCGTAAATTTTTAGAAAAATATTGTAACCGCCATATCCCAAATGAATCCACATTGCGCAAAAACTATTTGAATAAATACTACCAGGTACGTTTAGAAAATATTAGGGAAAAGTTATGCAACACAAATATTTATATTCAAGTTGACGAAACAACAGATGCATGTGGTCGTTATGTTGCCAATATACTTGTTGGTATTTTAAACGAGTCTACCCCTCCAGTGTCTTATTTAATTAATTCAGCAGCCTTAGAAAAAACAAATCACTCGACCGTTGCACGTTTTAATAATGATAGTTTAACCCTACTATATGCACCAAATCCAGTTAAATCAGAAAACGTAAAATTGATGCTTTCTGATGCAGCCGTTTATATGATCTAGGCTGGAAAAACTTTACTGGTATTTTACCCGGAATTAATACACTTCACCTGTATGGCTCATGCATTGAATAGATTAGCCGAATTAGTACGTGCAGAATATCCTTCTGTTAATTATTTAATTAATAACGGAAAAAAGGTCTTTTTAAAAGCTCCCCTAAGGGTAGAATTTTACAAAGAAATGGCTCCTGGCTTGCCCTTACCACCTGAGCCTGTTATTACAAGATGGGGTACATGGCTCAATGCTGCCTTGTTTTATGCAGATAATTTCGTAATAATCAAAGAAATTTTTCATTCGCTTGACGCTGATTCTATAGCACTTAGATCTTGTAAGGAATCGATACTAGAGTCAAACATTTTAGAAGACTTAGCCTTTATTAAAGCTGATTTTTTCATGTTAGCAAAAGCAATAATGGAGCTGGAAACTACCCAGTTGTCATTAAACGACTCTTTCAGAATCTTAGAAAAAGTGATTGAAGAACTAAGTCTTATTCCTGGTGAAACTGGAAACAAAATTAGGGTTAAATGGGAAAGTGTTTTATCTTGCAGTCCTGGATACCAACAAATAAAAAATGTTTGTTACATTTTGAGAGGACAGAACCAAATTGATCCGGATATTAAAATGAAGCCTTCAGACATAGCTTCCTTGAAATTTGCGCCGATCACATCATGTGATGTGGAGCGTTCATTTTCGGCATTTAAAAATTTATTAACAGACAAACGCCATAATTTAAGCTTGGATAGTATTAACCAGTTATTAGTTTTATACTGCAACCCTATCGTTTAACTTTTTGTGTGGGTTAGTTTGGATTAGTACTGTACTGTTCATTACAGAAAAACCTATTTTGTTTTGTTGACTTTTAGTTTAATATTATTTGATATGATATTATATTAATTATTATATTAAACATAATATATTAATATATAAGCGTTTATTTCTTTTGTGTACGCAGATTTCTGTTTCAGTTTTCCCAGATATAAAATCCATATTTCGTCTATTTTTTACTGCATAAAAAAACATATTTTGCAGTTTTATACCACATAAAAATCCGGACCTTAATTATGACACACCAATAGTTCTTACTGATGCACTAGGGATTTCGTTGACAGCTTGTAAAATGCTTCTGTCGCGATTTTCATTTTTAATATTGTATCCGCTTCTAGTTTGTTGGTGTTGATTTATTAAATTAACTACTATTTTTCTAAATTGTGTTTTATGAGGCTGCCGTTGTTCGGGATACTTCTCCAATACCTTGCTGAGGTAATGTCGGCGTTTCTGTGTGACTGCAAGTACAGCGCTAACATGTCAAACTTTTCCTCATTTGAGTAGGGAATACTGGCCATTTTCAACAGGTTTTGATAATTTTTTGTCAGATTTATCATTTTAATGGGAGAAAGCATAAGTACTACTTATTAAAACACAATTTTAATACTTTGAATTATTTTACGTCAACGTCAGAACCTCGTTAGATCAAACAAATGCGTTAGTTATTAATTTTATTTTCTGGCAAATAAATCATGGCATCCTTAGAAAAAATTGATACATAACATTACGTGTGATGATATGTCCAATCTTTTATGGACTTGTGAGACATCACTAGGCTGGAAATTTTACGCTCTTTCAAAAATCGAAAAATTCAATATGGCGGCCATAAGAAAAATGAAAGCTTAGGCAAGTTGCGGGAAAACAAAAGACGATTGAGACATGTCATACACGCTCTCATTTGCCTTAAAAATTGTCCGGAAAATGTCACTTTTCGATAGCTGTCAAATTAACATTTTCGGATTTACTGAGATAAAAAAAATCGACATTCTCGGTTTTTCGCCGATATTGATAAAACCAATTGACCGATCATCAATCTGAAGCTATCGAATGCACTAAGTCTCCTCTAAAACTTTCCCCATTTAACCCTTGCTGTAGGTATAACAAGAGCCGAGATCCCTGTAGAGAGAAGCGAATCTGGGACACACTGTATACCATTCACTGATATTTTACATTTAGAACTAGACGAAAAGTGGGAAATATTTATATATTTATTTACGACTTCCATTAATTACATCAAACACTTTACGTTTATGAGACAGCGTACATTGGTATATATTATTAAACTAAAGAAGAACTAAAGATGCATGATACCCAACCTATTTATATTTAAAACTTAGCAACTGAGATTAAACGGAAAAATCTTTTATATGCTTTTTGATGTGCGTAATATTGCTACTGAAAATATGTATATTGTAGCTTACAGCGTCTAAGAATTCTAGTAACTGGTTCAGTCCTACCATACCTAATAGGTAGAACGATGTGGAATCGTAAACAGTTCTATATTGCGAGTTCGTCTTTCATTAACATTAAGATTTATTTGTGCAAGCACTTCTGGGCAATCTATGACACCATCGACTATTTTAAACAGAAAACAAATCAAACATTTTCCTGCGGTGTCTCAAGGAGTCTATGTCCGACGTACTCACTAGTTCTGAAATATTCTGACTCCGACCTAATTTCATAGCTGCCTGTTTTAAAAATCTACCTTGCACTATTTTTGGCGAGCATATCACTGTGTTGTACTCCAAAATACTCTGCTCCAAAGAGCAGTATAAAATTCGAAAAATTTCTACAGAGAGATGCTTAATAGATGTAAAAATAAATGTATCTCAATATTGTATATTATGATTTAGAAGTAATTTGTCTAATGTGTATTTTAAAACTTAATTATGTATGAAGAGTTATACCTAAATTCCTAACTATATCAGTTCTCATGAGATAACGGCTTGCAACTTTATATTCATACACGAGAGAGTTTGAACTACGCCTCAAGCTTACCTGGTAGCATATAATCAAATTGATGTTGACATTATTAGTACTACACCGTCAAGTAAGGTTTATGGGGTCTATTTGTAAGGTTTCCTCATCGAGGACATTTCCCACTACTCTCAACAATTCAAGATCATCTGCTATGTGATATAGATCCTGCAACATCGTTAACAAATAAATTGAAAAAACTGGACCAATGTGGGAGCATTGCGGTACACCTGAAAAGACATTGATGGGATTAGATGATGATCCAGCATATCTGTTCGTCCTGACAGATAGCTTTTAAACCAGGATAGTTGATTGCTTGATACTCCAAAATTGTATAATTTAGCCAAAAGTAGATCGTGATCTACTCTGTCGAAAGCTCCCGAATAATCCATGAAGCTTGTCTTCAAAGGCAGTGATCATGTGGTTCCCATAAATGATTAAGATCATCATTACTGGAGATCAGAAATATTAAAAAATATCAACAAAGCCTGTGAGGTAGATGATAAAGGAACTAGTTTTTCTTTTCAATCCTCTTAAATTGTTGCAAGAAGTATGGCCAGCTATTGAGGACAAGGCGTTGAATCTCAGGAATTTTTTGCTTCAAGCAAAAGTCTACATGCCGGAGTATCGCAACTGCCGAAGTTAAACAGTCCATATTGATATGAATTTTAAACTTTCTGGTGTCATGAAAACCACTTCCATGGAACTTCCAAACAGCATCGGAATATTTCATTGCGCGACGATAGGTAAATAAATACCCGTCCAAATGGCAGTGGCAGATAATAGTCCAGTCCACATAGTTATAAATTAGTTGCAAGTGTTATAAATTAGTGTAGCAGTAATAAATTAGACTTTGAACAGTAAAACGGTGTTTTCGTTACAGGATAAAACGTCACTAGCTACTATGGGTGGATCCGTTTCAATCTATCTGCTCGCGAAGGAGACAGAGTGGAATGAGCAGCAGCGGAGGCCATAATAAAGGCAACTCACGCGAACTTCAATTAAGACCTTAATGTTTGTTCTATGCAAATGAGCCTGGTACGTTGCGCGAGATTTATTCGGCTAGTTCCAGTTTTGCACCAGATTTGTTGCTCGTCGCTCTGCTACCACTCCACTCTCCGTTCCTTCGCTCACCAACACACCACCATATACATTGAACTACCTGTATCACAACTTAATTTTATACCGGCTCCTGATACGAGGTGACGTGATAAATATTTTAATTTTTAGATAGTCAGGGTAACTTAAATGTGAACCCTGGTGTCAGTTTGGCTGATTCTAAGTCATATTAAATATGACTTGAAACATTATCAAATAGTGCACCGTCGGAGCTCTACATACAGGGTGTTCCTTAATGATATGCGAATATTTAAGGGTGTGAATCTACATGAAAAATGCATGTTAGTTTGCTTTATAAACTATGGTCCTAAATGTTTCCTTACAAAAACAAAAAGGTTTTAGGAAAAAATGGAAATAAATTAATATTTTCAGAACCGCTTCAGATATTTCACTCATATTTAGTACGTAGTGAAATTTAATAAAGTTGCATATTTTTCAATGCAAAAATAATTTTTAGCTTTAACAATGGCGTGCATACGGATATTGACTTTGATATTTTTCAAGAAAATAATGGTACGACAATGGTTCTTTGCCAAATAAAAATTATTTTTCATTTCTCCGTGCAATTTAAAACCAATAAATTGTTTTTCGTCGATGCACCATTTTTGGGTAAAAAAATAAAAACTGTTCTATTGTCCGAGAAAATTAATGTAATAATTGAAGAATACAATTTAGCAATAAATATCTAGTTGCTCTGGAATATTTCACTAGCTTTTGATATCCAACAAGTCTCTGTTATTCAAATCTGTTCGCTGTGACATCTTTCTCATTATTTAGCTTTTACAATCGTGTTAATAATGGTGACTTATTCAAATGCAGAAATGGCGAAAATGCATTACGTATATGGCCTTGCCAACGGTAATGGTGAGCAAGACAGACGGATTTATCACCAGAGATATCCCGATCGTGCTTTGCCAGATAGTCGAACCTTTTCTAATATTCATCGTCGTCTTATTGAAACTGGTTCTGTCCGAAAAGGAACATCTGAAGGTAGACCTCTAAGTGTGAGAGCACCTGGAATTGAGGAAGCAGCACTGCACGAAGTTGAAGAACATCCTGAATCGAGTACGAGGAAGATCGATAGACACTTAAATATTTGCCATCAAATTGTTTGGAGAATTTCAGTGGATTTTTTTGTTATATCCTTACTATATTTTAGTAGAGTACAGGCATTACTTCCCATTGATTTTCCAAGGCGTGTGACTATTTGTCAGCGGTATCTTCAAAAAATTACACAAAATCGGCAATTTGAATCAATGGTTCTGTTCACGGATGAAGCTAATTTTTCTCAAAATGCCATTCAGAATTTCCCATTGCCGGGACGACTTGACGGACAGACTTACCTCAATTTTCTTCAACAACAGTTGCCTTTGCTGCTGATGATCTTCCGTTAGTAATAAGAAACAATATGTGGTACATGCATGATGGTGCATCACCGCATTTCAGTGTAGCGGTTCGTAATTATTTACAAACTGCTTATCCAAATCGTTGGATGGCCGCAGAGGGCCCTAAGAATGGCCACCAAGGTCCCCAGATCTCAACAGTTTAGATTTCCTTTTATGGGACTTAAGACACTAGTGTACACAAGTGTCATTAGCACTGTAGAGGAATTAAGAGAAAGAATAGTTGCATCTTGTGATAGAATAAAAACACTCCAGCGATATGGGCGTGCACTAAGATCGATTGAGATAAGGAGACTTCAGACTATTCAACATGCGTGTCTCAGATTTGCTTGTGGAGTGAGAAAATTTGAGACAGTGTCACATAAATATCTGAGCTGGGTGTTCAAAAAATAGAAGAGCTACAAAAAATGCATGTATTGACCTTGACCCATAAGGTAATCACAACACAAGCCCCTCCATATCTATCAACCAAATTTATCAGATACTCAGATGTTAATCAACTGAACACAAAGAATAAGCATATCTTGGTTCTCCCGAGACATTCAACATCTCTATTTAAAAGGTCGTACGTATATACTGCTATCAAGCT